TTCATCCACCCACCTGTCTACTATCTCTTCATTCATCCATCCATCTACCCACTATCCCTCCATCCACCCACCTGTCTACTATCTCTTCATCCATCCATCCATCTACCCACTATCCCTCCATCCATCCATCCCTCCACGCACCTGCACCTTCACCCGTCTGTCCATCCACCCATACATCTACTACTCCTTCATCCATCTACCAACCCTTTATCCATCTTATATCCCTTCATCCATCCATCTATCTACCCACTATCCCTCCATCCATTCATCCACCCACCCATCCATCCACCTACCTACCTGTCTACTATCTCTTCATCCACCCATCTACCCACTATCTCTCCATCCATCCACCTGTCTATTATCCCTTCATTCATCCATCCATCCATCTACCCACTATCCCGCATCCATTCATCCACCCATCCATCCATCTATCTACCTGTCTATCTCTTCATCCATCCATCTATCTACCCACTATCCCTCCATCCACCCACCTGCACTTTCATCCGTCTGACTGTCCACCCATCCAACTACCACCCCTTCATCCATCTACCAACCCTTCATCCATCCATCCATCTGTCTTCTACCCTTTCATGCACTCACTGACTCTCTACTATCCCTCCCTTCATCCATCCATCCACTCACCTACCAATCCGTCCATCCCTCCATCTATCCACCCCATCCATCCATCCCTCCTGCATCCACCTATCCCTCCACCCCTACACACTGCTCCCCATATACACCCATCCCTCCATCCATCCATCCCCTCCATACCTCCCCATACACCCCCTCTGTCTATGGACCTGAGAGCCCAGGTGGCGGGACTGGACCCCTGGCCATTTCCCAGAATGCCATGAGCAACTCACCTGCCTGTTCATGAAGACGTAGATGATGGGGTTGTAGATGGTGGCGCTCTTGGCGAAGTAGGCAGGCAGAGCAGCTGCCAGTGGGTGGAAGGCGTAGCCGGGGTTGGCAGCAGCGAAGCAGGCGAAGAAGGTGTAGGGGCCCCAGCAGAAGATGTAGGCAATGATCATGACCACTACCATGCGTGACACTTCCTTCTCCGCCTTTTGGGTGGACTCTGATTCCTTCTGCTGGGCTGCCACCTGCGGGGGAGAGGAAGCCAGGCTTAGAGCACGGCCTAGGGGTTGCCAGCTGCCAACCAAGCTGTTAACCAGCCAACCAACCATGGCAAGCTGGGCCTGTCGTTGGGCCTCATGGGCTGAGGCACGTTGGCTAGGCCAGTGGAATGCTCTAAACTGACACTAAGCTGGGAGGAGTGGTAGATACACTAGAGGGTAGGGATCGGATACAGAAGGACCTAGACAAATTAGAGGATTGGGCCAAAAGAAATCGGATGAGGTTCAACAAGGACAAGAGCAGAGTCCTGCACTTAGGACGGAAGAATCCTATACACTGCTACAGACTAGGGACCGAATGGCTAGGTAGCAGTTCTGCAGAAAAGGACCTAGGGGTCACAGTGGACGAGAAGCTGGATATGAGGCGACAGTGTGCTCTTGTTGCCAAGAAGGCTAAC